ATATATATATATATATATATACATATATATATATATATATATATATATATATATATTAAATAAAAGATAAGATATAAAATAAACAAAAAACAACCATAGAATTAAAAATGGAAGCAAATAAACAGAAGATAATAAACAAAATAAACAAAAATAAATAAATAAAGATTAGACAATTTTAATAGCAAAATAACAGAACAAATGCACAAACTTTTCAAAAACAAATGAAAAAACTTCAGAAAACAAATATATAGGGACAAAAATGACAAGACAAGACTAAGACAAACAAAACTAAAATGTTTTAAACAAATTAAAAGATATAAAATAAACAAGCAAACAATCAAAAATGGAAGCAAATAGGCAGAATAAAGACAAATTACAAAATAAAAAGAAAATAGATAACTAAATTAATAGCAAAACAATAACAAAATAAATATATTTTTTTACTTGTATAATTTATTTTCTGAAGTTGTTTTAATTAGTTTTTGAAAAATACTAAGAAAAATAAATAATGAACACACAAAAATCTAAATACATTAAATACATACAAAATAATATAAATTAATAAATAAAATATAAGTTAAAGTCACAAAATAAACATAAATAAACAAGATAATTATATAAAAATAATTTTTATAAAAAAAATGAAAACCAAATATATACCCAAACGGAAAAAGTAAACATAAATGAAAATAAACAAATAAAAAAAAAATAAATAAAAATAAAATAAAATAAAATAAAAAAAAAAACGAAAAAAAAAAAACAGCCTGCATAAGATGTATGCATAGTGTTTATTTTAACATTATAGGGCTCATACAGTAAATTCCTCACCAGCCCATCACTGTACACCCGTAGGTTGATCTCCCGCTGCGTGGCTTTTTCCAAAATGTCTTTTCCAGCAACACCACAGTTGATCTTGAGTGTGTCAAAGAAGTTCTCATGCTGCAGCTTGTGCCCAGCTCTTTTCAGCCCTATTACAACCACAACAATCAAATCAGAATCACCACAATTCTCTCTAAACACGAGCATAAACAGGAGTTCTCCATCTTGCCTTCAGCGAGAATCAGTGTTGCATTGTGGGTTCTCTCTGCGATGTGCCTCAGTCCTTGCGAACCATGATAGAGTGCGTACATGGCAGCCATGTTGGCAAGAAGAGCCTGAGATTCAACACATTGCAGTTGCGTTCAGCCTTGGTAAGTTCAGTGTTTGTTCTATCAGGTGTGTTTCTGCTGTACCTGAGCTGTGCAGATGTTGCTGGTGGCTTTGTCTCTGCGGATGTGCTGCTCTCGGGTCTGAAGAGCCAGACGATACACCTCTTTGCCAGCTGCGTCTCTTTAACGGGACACATTTGACCATTCAGAACAACACACTAGATTGGTTTTCAAGCAGAGTTGCAAATTTAATTAATGTGCAAAATGTAAATATTATTTAAAACAAAACAAAAGTTTTTAAACTGTGCATTCAAGAGTATAAAATTAATGTGTAAAGTGAATAAATAAATAAATATTGAACAAATAAATCTTGAATAAACAAATACTGAATAAATATATATTGAAAATGTAAATATTATCTAAAACAAAAAAAGGAGGTTTTCAAACTGTGTGTTCAAGAGTGTAAAAGTAATATGTGTAAAGTGCTTTGAGTGTCTAGAAAAGTGCTATATAAATGTAAGGAATTATACTTAACTTAAATAATAAAGTAAATAAATTTAGCAGTTCTGTAAAAATAGCTTAATTATTTATATATATATATATATATATATATATATATATATATATATATATATATATATATATATATATATATATATATATATATATATATATATATACATATATATATATATATATATATATATATATATATATATATATATATATATAT